TTCAAGTCCTTCTCAGGAAGTGTTATGACTGTTGCTTGTTTCTCATCAGTTCACTTTTTATGTTTAAACGCGTATGGACGAGGTGGGGGTGGGGTTTTCTTAAAAAGTAGTTTCTGAAAATACAGCAGTCCAGAGAGTTCAGTTTCTGTTAAAGACTTCTTTTTTTGTCGTTTTGCACAGATTTGGATGGGATCCAAGCCACAGAGTTTGTCCCACGAATCTTATGGTTTCAGCAGAGCTTGTGGACCCTTAGAGCATGACTCTGAGCTCACTCAGTGGGATGCTTACCTAAAGCCCCATGTGGGGGCAGGGAATATGACCCCTGACTGTCATGGGCTTGTGAGTGGGTCTGAAGACAGTCTTCCAGCTTCACTGTACTCTTTGTTCAAAAACCTACATGTCCTCTTTGGAAAAGACCCTGAGAAATGAGCCTACAACTTGTGTTCCTTTGGTAGTGGGTGCCATTAGGTACTGCAGTTCCATGGGAAGCAGACGTGTGTCCCAAGGTGTACTTCTAGGGCTCAGTGAACCTCCAGGCACATCATTGCACATCTAGAGGAGAGACGAGTTGTGCCAGTGTTTTTCCATGAGACAGCTTTAGAATGTTTGGTAAGATGAGAAACCCATTTCCTCAGAGAAGGGACAGACATTTTTTCCTGTTTTCCCAGAGGCTTTTGTAAACAGGTATGCTCCATAGCCTCTTAGCTGCACAGATTATCCTGAACTCAAGTCTCACTGCTATCTCCAGGCTTCTCTTAGGGGGTGTTAAGGGAGTGTGTTGTCTTCCTGATGGGCCAGGCAGACTTTACTATCCTCGCTTGGTGGCTGCCCCTATCCAGGAGCTGATGGATAAGGGCTGTGCACTTGCTTCAGGTGGCTGAGATGTGGGTTTTCCTGGAGACAGAGGGAACTTGGTGTACCGCTCCCTTCAGACTCATCATGCCCACTCGCCAAGGCCCCGTCTGGGTGAAGAAATGGATTCCCAGATAGGGGGATTTATCTGCATTGTTCACGGGAAGCCTTGAATCACATGACTGAACCTTTATACAGGCAGGTGTCCTGTGGGCATGGCTGAGATGGGTGATTCACAGGTGCTGTTTTACCTTTAGGATTCTAGGCAAAGATTGCTTTGTGTTGTCTGTCTGACTTGGTTGTTGTTGAGGTTTACAGGTTGAAGCTACCAGAAGCTGGTGCAGCTTCTGGCCATGGCACCTGGAAGGACCACCTGCTCTTGCCCTGTCCTCTGCGTGCCCCCATCATACCAGAGAAAAGGGGTGGTCCTTCAGAGAGGCAAGACTGTTAGTCTTCTATCTGGTGCCTCCCTACCACTTCCTCCTTCTGATAACTAGAATGGGTACTAGATGGTATCTAGAAAGAGAAGACATGGCAGGGCAGTTCTATATGTGGAAGTCTTGTGTGTGCACTGGTTTAGTTCTCTAAATGGTGACTAAGACGCAAAGCTTGCCTATTTTGGTGACCACAGCTTCTGCCTCCTCAAATCTCTCAGGGCTTAGTTTTTGGTGGATGTGGTTTCTCAGTAATCCTCCTGGTGTGAGGGGGAAATGCATGTGCAGATGGTCGGCTGAGACTGGAATTACTGTGCATTGGGGCTGCTGCTAGCCTGGGAATATTCCCAGGAGTTGCCTGTGGGAAGCCAGGAACTCCTGGGTTCTGATTGAGGTGAGAGGAAAGAACAGGTCCCTGATAGGCCCTGGAGAAGCTCGTCCTGCAGGCTCAAGAGGAGTCATCTGCCTAGCTGATGCACTTCACTTGGATTTTGAGTGTCACCTGTCCAGGTGGATGTCCTTGGTGTGTGGTGTGGGACTCTTTACAAGACACTTGCTCCCTTTCAGAGCACCTTCCTCTTTGGGGGAATAAAATGGGTGCTTGAAGGCTGAGCCTCCTCCACAGTGAATAGGTGAAACCTAATTGGCTTCCAGCTTCTTCTCCTCTCTAACAAAAATAAACCTGTCACTACACAGATTAAACAGGAAGCCAACACAAAAAGGCCTTCAACAACTTTTGGACCCAGGCCCTGGTGGAACATTCCCAGGGAGCACTGCCTGGCAGGGAAGAGACCTGCCTGGGCTAGCCAGCCCTTGGGCACCGAGGCTCATGCTGCCGGTGCCTGCAGGGGCGGTGCTCTTGCTGGCTGTTGGAGATGGTGGTGGACCCTGACACCTGCCTGAGCTCTGTGTGCGCGTATGTGCTCTGGACTGGCTGTTGAGGTGCTCCCGGGTTTTCTGCTGGGAAAACATCCTTGCTTGGAACCTCCTTCCCTCGTGTTCCCTGTTTGAATTCTGCTGGTTTTTCAAGGCCTGGGCGGGGCAGGCCACTGTGAAGCCTCACCAGTAGCTGCTGGCAGCCCTGGCTTCCCTCTTGATCCCTTGAATCATACATACCACTCACCATGTATTTTGACATTTAATTAATTTTAGTGTCTTTTTTTTTTTTTGGTACCAGGGATTTAACTATTACTAATAAACCACATCCCCAGCCCTTTTTATTTTTGAGATAGGGTCTCACTAAATTGCTTAGGGCCTTGCTAAGTTGCTGAAACTAGCTTGGTCTTGTGATCCTTCTGCCTCAGCCTCTCGAGTTGCTGGGATTACAGGCCAGTGCCACTATGTCTGGCTAATTTTAGCATTTCTGCTTGTGTTGTTCTTAGGTGATTCCAGGTGTGTAAGCTAATGGGCCACTGTGACTGTGGAGGTGGAGACTGTTGAGCTCTTCGCGTGCAGTGCATCTGCAGTATGTGGCAGGTGTTCTCTGGAGGGCTGGGATTAGGCTTGCACTGTTGCTCACCTCTTCTCTGTGCCTGGGCCAAGGAGTGTGTCCTCTCTTTCCTCTCTAGGAGTTGGTGTGCATCTCTCAGCCCATGTGGAGGCTGTGTGATGCCAGACCACTTGGTGTGGAGTGGCACAGGTGGAGACCTGGCCCTTTCCTGGGTGGTCTGAAAGGTGGGAAGAAGAGCTGTGAGGCAGGGGTGTGCTGATCTTATGCTACTGTGCATTGCTACTGCAAATATATCACATTTCATTCATTAGATTTTAGGCCCCATTGGGGTCTTCAAATTGTTGTTACACAGCTTTCCCATTGTTTCATAGTCTTCTGTTGGGTCATGGGAGCCTTCCTTCTGCTCTCAGGCCTGGCAGGTCTGTGGCCCATATTTTGGGAAGTTGAGGCAGCTTATTTTTGAGCTGATGACAGTAATGTCGCCCTCCCCCAGACCATGGGGGAGAACTGCTGCTTTCCCACCTCTGCAGTGGGTCACCGAGGCCTGTTCCAGTCTTCCCAGGATCTAGAGAGCCGGCACCTTCCTGCATTGACAAAAAGTTTTCTTAGCAGCGAGTTGGCCCTGATAGACTGGTGGGCTTTCTGGGAAGCACAGCTGTGGGCCATCTGGCATCTGTGCAGGGCCATTAGGAACCCTGGAAGATTCAGTGCCTTATCATGAAGCAAGCAAGTGAAATCATCTTCCTGGAATTTGTGGCCATTCAAGCCTTGGGGTGTTTGAGCATCTTTTCCCCAGAGTCCCTTTGGAGGTCACAGCCTGAAGAGGATTTTCCTGCTGCTGTTTGTAGGACTGGGATTCAAAACAGGGTGGGATTTGTGTAGGACTCTGGGTGTTCAGGCCAGCAGAGATGTAGCTCCATGAGCAACCCCAGTTCCTCCATCTCAGCCCAGGGGAGTGTGGAGTCTGTGCCGGAGGGGCAGCTGGCTCAAGATGTGTCTGCTGGTGAAGTGGCCTCTGTCATCATGGCCAGCATCTCTTGAGAGAGGCCCCATTTCCTAACCTTTTTCTGCCCCAGCCTTTCTCTCCAAATCTGAGTTTTAAAGAGAAACACATATTTTTCCGAGTCCTTCCTTGAACAGAAACTCTTGAGTCGTGGGCTGGGGCTGTGGTTGTAGTAACCCTCAGACTTTCATTAGGCTAACCCTTTTAGGTATCTGTAGGCAAATTTTCTTTTCCTTTTTTTGGTGTTGGGGATTGAGCCCAGGAGTGCTGTACCACTGAGCTGTACCCTCAGTCCTTTTTCTTTTTTATTTTCAGATAGGGTCTTGCTAAATTGCCCAGGCTGGCCTTGAACTTGTGAGTTTGCAGAGCTTCATCTGCGCTCACCTTTTTTTTTTTGGTACCCGGGATTGAACTCGGGCACTGGACCACTGAGCCACATCCACAGCCCTATTTTGTATTTTATTAGGGTCTCTCTGAGTTGTTCAGTGCCTCGCCATTGCTGAGGCTGGCTTTGAACTCGCTATTCTCCTTTCTCAGCCTCCTGAGCTGCACCACTGTGCCGCTGCGCCACTGTGCCCGCCTCATAGCGTGATTATTTAAGCTTCATTCTGCATCGTCTCCTCTTAGTGTCCCTCCACTCTGCCTCTCAATCTCCTTCCACACTACTGATCTTCCCTATAACTTCATGTTGTCCTTTCCTCCCCCTTTCCTTTATTTTACTCTAGCTTCCACATATGAGAGAAAACATTCGACCTTTGAATCTCTGAGTTTGGTTTATTTCATTTAGCATATTTTCCATTTGCATCCAATTAATGGCAAATGCTATAATTTTATTCTTTTTATGGTTGAGTAGAACTCCATTATATATATGTACCACAATTTCTTAATTCATTCAGCTATTGACAGGCACCTGAGTTGATTTCATAATTTAGTTATTATCAGTTGTGCTGCTGTAAACATTTTAAGAGGCTGTATTGCTATCATATGCTGATTTTAGATCTTTTGGGAACACACCAAGGAGTGAGATAGCTGGTCATATGGTGTTTCCATCCCTAGTGTTTTGAGGAATCTCCAAATGCCTTCCAGAGTGGTTGTACTGATCTGCTGTCCCAATCTCAGGGTACAAGTGTACCTTTCTCCCACATCCTCACCAGTATTTGTTATTGTTTGTATTCTTACTCATTGTCATTCTGACTGGAGTAAGATGAAATCTCCAGGGGTTTTTGAGAAGAGTAACCCATTTGTGTGTGTTTTCCACCAGGTCACCATGGCTGCTGTTGGCTCCCTTGCTATCTCCAGCTGTCCCCCAGGCCACCTCCCCACCTTGCTGCCTGTGTCCAGAAGGTGTGCACCGGTTTCAGTGGATCAGAAGCCTGGTTCCAGAGTTCGGCGTCTGTAGCTCTCATGTCAGGGTGCTGTCCTCCCCAGCAGAGTTCTTCCAGCTCATGAAGGTGGGTCGTTTCTGAAGAACCCAGGGACAGAAGTTGGAGTTGGGGCCCTCAGGGAATCAGGTTGGGTGAGTCCTCGGTACCCTCCATTCTAGAAGCTTCTTAGGCTATTTAGCCTAGCCTGTTGGGTTTCAGTCTAAGGTGGTTGAGTGGAGCTGCAAGCAGAAGTCTCCCTGTTGGGTTTCAGTCTAAGATGGTTGAGTGGAGCTGCAAGCAGAAGTCTCCCTGCACGGCCAGCGTCTCTAAGCAGGGAGCAGTGAGGACAGGGCACATGCTGACTCTTGAGGCCTCGCTGATCCCCTTGTTGTTTTGTGGTGCAGATGTGGGCCACTCCTAGGGAGTTTAGTGAGGCTGTGCAGACCCACGGCATGCCCCTGCTACGTAGCTGGGAGGCCTGTGCTCAGTGGACCCTTGCCTTTGGAAATGTCTTCACGCACAGTATTGTTGTCTTGGTAGATGTCACAATAAGGAGACCTAGGGTGGGGTCTGATGTGTGGCCGGTGGCCAGTGCCCATTCAGCAAAGAGGCATTTCAAGATAACTGCGAAGGGCTGGGATTGTGGCTCAGTGGTAGAGCAGTTGCCTAGCATGTGTGAGGCACTGGATTCAATTCTCAGAACCACATATAAATAAAATAAAGGTATTATGTCCATCTACAACTTAAAAAAAAAAAAAAAAGACCGCTGGGGAAACTTGGACACCTGGTTTTAGGTCTCACAGGCCTCAGGGTTCTCTGGGACTTTGAGGTCTGTGCTTTCCTTTCCTGTTAGTGATGTTATCTTTGCCTTTTGAGTAACTTTCAACATGTTACTCAGGTTTACATGCTGCATCTAGTTATTCATGGTTGAACCACTAATTGGAATGAAGTAATTCAATACTAATGAATGTTTAACAACATGAACTTTGTGAGTTCATATCAGCAATGATGCTAGAATACTGATCTGGTGGGCCAGGCAGACAGGAGATTGCTGAGGGTCCTAGGAGACAGAGGTGGAGATGCAGCTTGGTGAGGCAGTGTGTGCTCATTCCCCTGAAGGCCTACGCATTTCCTCTCCTTTTGCCCTCTTGTTGCATTGGTCCACACTTAAAGCTTCATTTCTAGGTGGCTCATTCCAGAAAGCTTTCTTTGTGACGCCCTGAGCAGGTCCTCTGGTTCTCCCTCTGCTTTGCTGCACTGCCTGTCCTCATCCTGTGCACTGTTGCGTGTGTGGAGTGATGTGCAGTGTGGTCTTGGTTCTCTCCTTGCCTTGAAGAAACAGGTTTTTCCGTGGTGGTTCTTCTTGGTGTCTTGACTGACTCTCAGTGAATGGCTTACTGTGATTCCCCTGGCCAGGAGGCTGGGCCATGCCGTGCCTCTGCCTGTGGCTGCAGAGCCCAGGAAGGGGAAGAGGGGCATGGCCCAGGAGGTTGAAAAGAAGCCGAGGCCTCTGGACCGGATCATGGGCAGGTTCTTCTGGCTTGCATCACATGGAGTAGCGTGCGTTTCTTCCTGAGGCAGACAACAGGGAGGGAGGACAGCAGTGGTTTCTGCCTGCTCCTCATGTTGTCTTGTGGGACCTGGTGACCTATAGCAGAAAGGTATGCTTTGGTTGCCTGAGCCAAATGGACTCAGACATTATTTGCTTCCCTTTCTTTCTTTCTTTTTCTTTTTCTTTTTCTTTTTTTGGTACCAGGGATTGAACCCAGGGGCACTTAACCACTGAGCCACATCCCCAGCCCTTTTAATTTTTTGAGACATGGTCTCCCTAAGTTGCTAAGAGCCTCACTAGGTTTTTGAGGCCATCTTTGAACTTGCGATCTTCCTGCCTCAGCCTCCAGAGCCTCTGGGATTATAGGAGTGCACCACCACATCTGGCTGTTTCTTTTTATTATGATCCTTATAAACATCTATATTAATAGGTAGCAAAATAAAGGAAATTGCAACCTTGGGGTGTTTTTTTTTTTTTTTTTTTTTAATTGTGCCTATGTGTTTCCTAGTGCTGCGTTCATGCATCTGTATAGTACAGAAACCCAACTTCCTGTGTGGGTGATGCGGGCTGGGGGTGACAGGAGAGGGCATGAGCTATGCTGTATGCATCCCTCCCTTTTACCTTGCTCTTGTGTTTCCCCTGGGGTTAGCGTTTGGCACATTGCTGTTTTTTCTGTCCTTGCCACTACCTTTGGGGCAGGGCTGCCTGGAGTTTTGGAGGCAGGGTCTGTTCTTCTGGGCTGGAGCAGAATCCAGGGAGACTGAGCTGGTTTGGGGGAATCTTGGTGGCATGTTGTCTTTGAGTGTGGGTTTGTTCTGTTTTTGTGTCTGTGTACCTGTCTATATTTTGAAAGTGATACCTGTTCATTGGAACAGCTCAGCTGTGCAGGTGGTGAGTAGAAAGCATATAGGTTCCACCTATATCCCTCTTCCTTCCACTCACAGGGTTGGGCATAGGCAGGTGGGAAAATAGTTTGCATTCTGCTCAGTAATTTGCTTTTGCATCTCAGCAATCTATTGTGGACATTATGGACATTCACATTGTTGGGCACAGATCTCCTTCATCCCCCCCCCCCATTTTTTTATTGGTGCATTATAGTTGAACACACTGATGGCATGTTTGTACATGCACACGATATATGATATCTTTCATTCTTTTCTCATTCATTTTTTTACTGGGGGGGGGCGGCTCTTGAGGATTGACTCCAGGGACGCTATGTTACTGAAATTTACCCCTAGCCCTTTTTATTTTTTATTCTGAGACAGGTCTCACTAAGTTGCTGAGGCTAGCCTTGAACTTGTGATTCCCTGACCTCAGCTTCTGAGCTGCTGGGGTTATAGGCATGGCCATATACTCAATCCTCCTTCATTCTTTTAAATTTTTTAGTTGTAGATGAATACCATACCTTTATTTATTTATTTTATTTATTTTTATGTGGTGCTGAGGATTGAACCCAATGTCTTAGACATGCTAGGCAAGTGCTGTACCACTGATCCACAATCCCAGTCCTGCTTCATTCTTTTTAATGGTTGCCTTGCATTTTATAGTAGGGTTAGACTTAGGGTTGTGCCTAACTTTACAGGTTTGAGAATTGTGTGTTGAGGATTGTGGGTCCTTATTTGGTAGGTCACAATATATGGTGGGTTTTTTGTTTGTTTTGTTTTTTTGAGACAGGGTCTTGCACCTTGAACTCATGCACCTTGAACTCTTCCTGCCTCAGCCTCTGAAGTGTGTGCCATCACACCTGGAACTGTATATGTTTTAGTGGAGACATGGGGTAACTCAGCTTGGAGTGTGATTTGCCTCTAAGGTCAAAGGGACATATTTTTCTTGGTGAACTATGAAAATGCTGATTGTGAATTTTGAATGTTTTATTTTCTCTCAGGGGCAGATAAAAGTAGCCAAGAGGCGGGTCGTGATGGCATCTCTCTACCTGGGGACAGGTCCTTTGGAGCAAGAGCTGGTAAGGTTTATGGGGAGGTGGTCCTTGAGTATCACAGTCCTGAGAGGTGGGTTGGTGCTGTCTTAGTTTCTGTCGCAGCAGCTCTTGTTCTTGTTGCTACAGATGTTGTTTGAGTCAGGAGGGTGTGCGGGGGCTTGAGGAGGCCTAATCAGGGCTGGCCAGTGTCCTCCTCCTGCTCAGGGCTCTTGCTTCTCTGTCTACCAGTTGAGAGCTGCAGGCCAAATCTGGTCCACCACCTGCTTTGGTGTGGCCTTTGAGCTAAGAATGGCTTCTACATTTTCAAATGATTGGAATAAACCAAAGAAGAATATTTATTTTTGGCTTATTTAAAGTCTACTAAATTAACATTCTGGGTTCATCAGTTAAGTTTTATTGGAGCACAGCCATGCTCATTGTGCACCCTTCATGGTTACTTCAGTGCAGCAGCAACACAACAGAATGGTTTTGACAGAGGCCATCTGTCACAACTGTGTGGCCCTTTTCAGAAAATATTTTCTGACCTTGTACTGCACAGATGAACCCAAGTGCAGGTCGAGCTGCTGGGTGTACCCAGGCTGGTGTCAGATACCAGGTAGGAGCCAACCTCATTCCACCTGGACTCTTGGCATGCTGCACTTGTCACTCAGGCAGGCGGGAGTGGGCAGGAGCTGGAAGCCATCCACGTGGTGCTGCTTATGGCAGGTCCAGTATAGGCCAGCAGCCTCTGAGATGGAATTGATGGGACTATGAATGAGGTTATACATGTGTCCTGGGTTGGGGTCGCTTTCTGCTCAGAGGGAGGGGAATGACTCATTGCCTTGGATTGTCCTTGTTCAGAAACTCATAGATGGGAGCTGAGCAGTGTGTAAGGTCGGATGGGAGTGTGGCAGAGGGAAGGTGGGTCAGGCCTGGCTCTTCTTCCCTGCTTCTGAGGAAGGAGTCTTCTCCTCTTGCCAGGTCACCCTCTTAGCTACAATCTCGGGAGGGCTGTTTGTTCTCATGGGGTAGGAATGAAATGTCCTGGCCATAGAGGAGGGCCAGTGGGCAGCTTGTCTTGGATTCATTCATTCAGCAAATATTTACTGAGCATGCTCCATAAGTAGACCTGTATTTGTTGTGTGTCTGTGAGGACTATCTGTTGAAACCTGTGTGGGAGACGGTGTCTCAGAGTGTCCCTGAGTGGCTAGGCCAGGTTGCTGAGCAGCATGCCTCTGGCCTTTGTCTCCTGGGGCTCGCATTGGAGCAGCGCCGGGACTGTTTTTGATTGTCCCAAGGCCTTGCCCTGAAGTGCTTTCCCAGCAGTGGCTTGCGAGTTCTGGTGGTGTGTGTGCATGTTCAGGAAGGGCATGAGGGTGTGTGCTCACCAGGTGATAAGCTGTTTTAAATGCACAAATATCCTTTTGGTCTTGTTTCTGTTCCTTTGGGTTCTTTTCCCTGATAGGTGGATTGCCTGGAAAGTACTCTAGAAGAGTCTCTGCAAGCAAAATTTCCATCTGACCTCAAGGTCTCCATTCTCCTGGATTTCACCCGGGGCTCAAGAGGTAGGTTGCACACTTAGCCTTTTCTCTTCCTCTCCCTCAGACTTGGTTTGAGGAGTTACACTGTCACCTCTCCTGGTTCCAGGCAGAGACAAGGCCCAGAACTGCCTCCTTTTCCTAGTCGGGATTCCTTCTGTATCAGGTGACTGAACCCAGCTCTAAACAACTTAGGCAAAAAGTATTTTTTTTGCTGGGGATGACGCCTGTAATCCCAGGTCTCAAGAGACTGAGGCAGGAGGATTGCAAGTTTGAGACCATCCTAGGCAATTTAATGAGACCCTGTCTCAAAATAGAGCGAAAAAGACTGGGCATGTAGCTCAGTGGTAGAAAGCCCTGCGTTCAATCCCTAGTACTGCTTCCCTCCCCACCAATTTTTTTTTTTTCCTCTTGTGCCTGACCTCTTTGTGTGCCTCATAATTTGGGGCTTGGATTTATCCCCAAGATGCATCTCCTGGCCCTGCTTTCTTTGGGCTTGCTTCCTTCTCAGAGTCTGTGTGGTGGCCTCTGGTGGCTAAGGCCCTGTGCCCATGGCACCTTGGCCATCATTCTTAGGCTCTGTGTAGTGGTCTCTGTGGCTGAGGCCCTGTGCCCAGAACCCCTTTGCTATTAGAAGAAAGTCTCCTTCCTTGACATTCAGGCCAAAACCCCTGAGTGGCTGCCATAGACTGTGGCCCCAGCCCCGAATTAATTGTCACCCTAGGCCTGGAGTGGGCTGAGTGGCTCAACCCAGGCTTGTATGTTCTCTTGGGGACCTTGGGTGAGAGTTCAAAGCAAGTCGTCTTTACCCAGAGCAGGAAGGCTGAGAGTGAGCTGGGTGGTACCTTCCAGAGGAAGTTGAGTACACTTACCAGCAGGAGGGGAAGTGGGTGTCAGGTAGCAAAAACAGTGGATGGCTGCTGTGCAGAGCATGCAGTCCTGCTCAAGGCTGGCCAGAGTCCTCAGGCTGGAAGCAGTGCCTATTGGTGTGGCTGGTTCAAATAAGCAGCCCAGGGGAAGTGAGGCCCAATTGAGAGGTGGTTCCTCCCTGGCAGGTGGGATGTATCTCCTGGTTTTAGTCACCCACCATTCTCTCTGCTCCCCTCCTGTCTAGGCAAAAAGAACTCTCGCACAATGTTGCTTCCACTCCTGCAGAGGTTTCCAGAGCAAGTGCGCGTCTCCCTCTTCCACACGCCCGACCTCCGTGGTCTTCTCCGGCTCCTTGTCCCTGAGCGCTTCAATGAGACCATTGGCCTCCAGCACATCAAAGTATACCTCTTTGATAACAGTGTCATCTTGAGCGGGTGAGACCTGTCAGCTTCTCCTTAGTGCTGTGGGCTGGGAGTCAGTGGGACAAGGAGGAAGGATAGCTGTCCATTCAAGTCTCAGAGGCCCTGCTGTGTCACCTGCAGACACTTCTGTGGCCCTGCTGGAGCCCCTGAAGGTTGCTTGGAAAGCAGCCAGAATTTACTGGGTACTTGTGTGCTCTGGTCCCTGTGCTAACCCCCTGCTGTGTGCCACGTCACTCATTTCTCACCATGACCCTGTGAAGTTCTCCTTGGTTTATACCTGGAAAAACAGGTCAGAGAGGACAAGTAACTTGTCAGGCAAGGAAGACTAAGATGAAGCAGCCAGGTAGAAGTCCACATGCTTTTGATCCTCACAGGGACCTGGTAGATGGTCCCATCTAACTAGCTCTTCTCAGCCAGATGGTCAGCTCCTTGGAGTGGGGGTGGGGTTGGCAGTTTGTTTTGTGTCCCCTGGTGCTAGTCCTTCCCTGGTCTCCTGCTGTTTATTAAATGACTGCTCTTGTTACTTCCTGACTCGAGTTTGTCACTCCTCTCCTGAGGCCTGGGTCACCCAGTCATGCTGATGTACACTCTTACCTGAGTCCTCACCTGCTTCTTCCTTCCTGTAGTGCAAACCTGAGTGACTCCTACTTCACCAACCGCCAGGACCGCTACGTGTTCTTGCAGGACTGTGCGGAGATTGCCGACTTCTTCACGGAACTGGTGGATGCAGTGGGAGACGTGTCCCTACAGCTGCAGGGGGACAACACGGTGCAGGTGGTGGATGGAATGGTGCATCCTTACAAAGGTAGGGCCTGGCTCTGTGCTCCTTGGCTGTGGGGTGCAGAGCAGGGAACACACCTAGGTGGCTTTGCTTCAGGCACAGGAGAGAGGGTGGCAGGGCTCCGTTCTGCCTCTGTCTCTGAAGCCAGATAGGTGTGACTCACCGGCTGAAGGTCATGCTCTGAAGGTGAGACCTGGCTGGAGAAGATGGGAGTGTGGGCTTGGGCTTGTGGGCCCATGCGGGTCAGCCAGGAGCCTGCCCTGCCCTTAAAGGAAGAAGCAGCTTAGCAATTGCCCTTCTCAGCTCATTCCCCTAATTTCCTATCACAGAGGCCTTGTGGCTCTCACTCCATTGAGGTCTGTGGGCTCTCCCTTTGCCTGGAAAGTGCAAGGGGAGAGCTCTCAGCTCTGCTTGCTGGAGGCAGGCAAGTCCTGGCACAGCTTTCCTGGGCATTTGCATTCCTATGATTCCTGTGGCTCTGGCTTCTTGTGGATTTTTAAAGGGCAGCTGCTGAGTTTGCAAGCATGTTCACAAGTTGGGGACAACTTGGGGAAGGAGTTAAACACCGACTTTGTAAGAAGAGCTCTCCATGACCTGTAGTCCTAAGATGGGAAGCATCTGAGTGGACCTCCTGCTGGGAGTCCTGCCTTATGCCAGGGGAGGCATGGCCCTCCAGCTAGGCTGCGATTTGTGCCACTGCCCTGTGTGTTACCAGCGGAAGCTTAGTTATTGCCACTAGCCTTTGAATTTCATCAATAAAAACTTGATGTCAATCTGTTTCTCATTATATGAATACCCACACATTAGCCTCAATTTTGTCTTTTGGTCCACAAAGCGTAAAATATGTACATTTGGCCCCTGAAGAAAATGTTTGCAGATGGCTGGTCCATTGTTGTAGGCCAGTCTTGACTGAGAAGGCGACTGTCCTCAGGGGCAGAGCATGCACAGATGTGCTTAGCAGCCTGCTTACGCCTTCCTGACCATGCAGGCCTTGTGGCAGTGGGCACTGTGCCTGCTCCCCCGATCCAGGCAGTCACTGGCAGCAACAGATGTATCCCTGCATAGGACGTTCCTTTTCTGTTTGTTAATACAGCTTAGAAAGGCACTCAAGTGTCTGTCCCTGTCCTCTCGGTCTGTGTGAGCAAGTATGATTGACCACTACGGCCATCCTTCTCTGTTGGCTTTCCTTCCCAGCAGCCTTGCCAGAGCCTTGCTGTCTCAGACTCTTCAGAGGATTAATATTGGACAGTGTTCTCCATTTTTGTATTTTCATTCTATTGACTTCTGGTCTTATTTTCCTGTGGTGTAGTTTTACTCTTATTCTGTTTTCCCCATACTTCTTGGGCAGCTCATTATCATTCAGTCTTTGCTTGTCTAATAATAGCTCTTGTAGTTGTATTGTTCCACCTAGTTGTCTGCCCAGTCACTTGCCACCATCGTCCTCTCAGAGAGGATAGTTGCTCCCTATACTGCCCAGAGCCTGCCCTCAGAGGATTCCGTGTGTGTCACCACTGGTGGTTAATTATGCTTATGCTTCTCTGCACGCTTGTCATGGTATGTGCCCACTCTGTTTTAGCTATACTGATTTGGCTTTATATACACAAACTTTCTCATGAAGTTCACATAGAACACCAGTCACAGGTATAGCTCATGTGCCTGTTCATAGTGGATTGTTCTCCAGAAACTCCCCTTGGCCCTTCCCCAGGTGTTATTCCCCATGGTAACCACTGTCCTGATTTGTCACCCCAAGTTCATCTTTTCTGATTTTGAGCTTTTTGCAGTTGGAGATCATATAGATGTTCCCTTTTATTTCTCTCTGTGGGCAAGGTCCTTATTCTGGGCAGCTGTATCCTTGGAGGAGTCTTGCTCAGGGTTTCATGCCTGGAGCTCACTCAGTACATGTTCTGGCTGGACATGTGTTGCACGCCTGTAATCCTAGTGGTCTGGGAGGCTGAGACAGGAGGATTGCAAGTATAAGGCCAGCTGAGGCAACTTAGCGAGACCCTCTCCCAAATAAATAAAAAGTTGGAGACATAGCTCAGGGGAAGAGCACTCCTGGGTTTATTCCCCAGTACCAGAGGAAAAAGAGGCGTGTGTTCTGCTTGCACATCTTCACATGCCTGTCACATGCTGTGGCTGAGCCAGCAGAGTCCTGACTCCTCATTTCTCCTCCTCTTCCTCTTGTCTCCCTCTAGGTGACCGGGCTGCATACTGCAAGGCCGCCAATAAGCGGGTCATGGATGTGATCCACTCCGCCCGGACTCGCCAGCAGATGCTGCATGCCCAGACCTTCCACGGGGACTCCTTACTGACACAGGAGGAGGCAGCAGCTGCTGGTGATCGCAGACCAGCACCCGACACCTGGATTTATCCATTGATACAGATGAAGCCCTTTGAGATCCAGATTGATGAGATTGTCACAGAGACCCTGCTGACTGAGGCTGAGCGAGGTGCTAGGGTCTACCTTACAACGGGCTACTTCAATCTGACCCAGGCCTACATGGACCTGGTCTTGGGTACACGGGCAGAGTACCAGATCCTGCTGGCCTCTCCAGAGGTGAATGGCTTCTTTGGAGCCAAGGGGGTGGCAGGTGCCATCCCTGCAGCCTATGTGCACATTGAGCGGCAGTTCTATAGCGAGGTGTGCAGCCTGGGGCAGCAGGAGCGAGTTCAGCTACAGGAATACTGGAGGAGGGGCTGGACATTCCATGCCAAAGGTATGTGGTGGCTGGCCTCAGGATTGCTCCAACATGGGGGAGGCTTTTGGTGGTGGGGCGCGGCACACTCTTGGCGTTCTGGCAGGGACTGGGCTAGCTGTACTGTGCTGGCCCCTGCGGAACACCCGCCATGCCCGTGGTACTCCATCCTTTCTCCCATGGTGCTCATGGTGCTCCCCCAGGCCCAGTGGGGTGGTCTTGAGTCCTGGGGAGGTGAGGGTTAAAATACTCAAGTCAATTTTTTGGCAAGGGGAGTACTAGGGATTGAACCCTGCGCACTTTACCACTGAACTCCATCCCCAGCCTTTTTAATTTTTTTATTTTGAGACAGGGTTTCACTTAAGTTGTTTAGGGTGCCTTGAACTTTCAATCCTCCTGTCTCAGCCTCCCGAGTTGCTGGGATTACAGACGGGTGCTACTTCAAGCAAATGTTAGTTGTGGGAAATCTCTTTCTTTTACACACCAAAGACTAACAAATGGAAACCATTTTGGTGACTCTTGTAAAAAATGCAGTACATGTAATCTCAGACAGGGACTGGATATGACTTAGTCACATCTCATCATGGTGCTTCTGCTTGTTGGCAGAGCAACGATCATCAGGGATCTTGGGTTTGCCATCAACATCCTTTTTCTTTCTTTTTCTCACCATTTCTTCTTTGTTTTCTCCAGTGTGCCAGTCTCCACCTTTTTCTCCCTGTAACTCAGAAAATGGAACCAGTATTCTTCAATGTTTAGTTCTTATTGATGAATGTCCTATATACTTAACGTCTAGGTGGGAAGTGAGTTCTAGTCCAGATCAGTTTTTTATTGTGATCCCTCTCAGATATCTAGTAGCACAGCCCAGGTGGGGGCATATTCTTATGTGTACCTTTTTGAACTGTGATGAAGTACATTTAAAACCTCAAGCTTATTGGGCATGGTGGCACACGTCTGCAATTCCATTGGCTCTGGAGGCTGAAGCATGAGGGTCTAGATTCCAAGCCAGCCTCAGCAACTTAGCAAGGCCATAAGCAACTGATTGAGACCCTGTCTCTAGACAAAATATGAAGAAAGGGCTGGGGATGTGGCTCAGCAGTTAAGTGCCCCTGGGTTCAATCCCCAGTGTTAAGAAAAACCTCAAGCTTATGGTACAGCCCTGTAATCTCAGCTACTTGGAAGATCAAGGCAGGAGAATCACACGTTTGAGGTCAAACTCGGCAACTTAAACCCTGTCTGAAAAAAAGGGGTGCAGAGGCAGGGCTGGGCTTGTAGCTCAGTTGTCCAGCATGTGTGAGGCCCTGGGTTTGATCCTTAGCACTGAGTAAAACAAAATTCTAGTGTTTCCCAGTGGGCTTGCCCTTTGACTGCTGGGCGTTGTGAGTATGCCTACCTCTAGAGTGCTGACCTGAGAGTTTAAGAGGAATGGACAGTCCTAGGGACTTGGGCTGGGAATTCCATATGTGGCTCTTCTGGCTTCTTTTTGGGCAGTCCTGAGGCCTCTTTTGCTCACCCTGGCTGTTTTGCCCATCCTTAATCTTTTAGAAGAGCTGAGCTAGGGAGGATGGTGCTGTTGCTTTGGCCTCTTTCTTGGGTGCCATGCGTATGCCTGTGTCATCGAAGACATCTTTAAATTCCTAGGTCAAACCCTTTTTTCAATCTCCTAAAACTAGCATTTTCAGTGTGGATACATTTTAAGAAGCACTAACATTTAGGCCATCCAAGACCTGAGTCTAGCTTTCTGGGTGAACCTACCCTGGTAATTTATTTATTTATTTTTTGCAGAGCTGGGGGTTGACCCCAGGGTCTTATACATTCTAGGCAGGTGCTTAGCTCCTAGCCGCAGCCCCAGCCCTTAACTTGGTGTGTTTACTCCCTATACCTAGGAGATTTTGCTGCCCAGCCTTAGAAAACATGGTGAGGCTCCTGGCTTGTCCACACTGGCCCCATTGTGTTTTGAGGCCCCACACCTGCCTAGGCAGGTGGCATTGCTTGCTGTGGGAAGTGACTGCCCCATTGTACTGTTGGACTCATCCTAGCATGTCATGGACGGAACTAGCCTGGCGGTCAGGTGTCTCAGGATGGGTAGGGCCGGCAGGGAGGTGTGTGGAAAGTATTTTCAGGTTGGCCTTGTTCCTTCTGGGAATCACAACAGTGCCCTGGGGTGGGGCATCAGAGGAAGAGCTGAGCAGCTGGGAGAAGCTTTGAGCTTTGAAGAGGTACCAGGGTGTAGCCCAGGCCCAGGCTGAGTGGAGGCACAGCTGTGCAGCGCTCTTCAGCTGCTCCAGCTCCGCCTGCAGGAATTGTGGTATTGTGGTCCTTCAGAGGCACTAGGGAGTCGCCACAGGCGTACCAGTGCAGCTCCGAGGAAGAGTCTCTGTGGCGACTCCCTAGTACCTTTGAAGCAGAAGTACCCAACTGGCTTTTCCAGTGTGCCTCACCTTTTCCCGGATTATGTGCTCCTACTGCTCCCTCCCTTCTACGCTGGTATGGGTGGGGCTCTGCCCTCTGGGAGTGCAGAGTTGGTGGGGAGGCATGGAGATCCCAGGGCACATGTGGGTGTGTGTGTATGGCAGAGGTGGGTGGTTGGGGGCCAGATGGTGCATGGAGGAAGTTCTTGTGAGCAGAGCATCCTTAAGCCAGGAGCTAGAGTCATTCCATGCTGAAGTGCAAGGCCAGCGTCCCTCCTTGCTTGGTGGCTATCATCCATAGTGGGGTCTTAGCAGCCCTTTCTGGCTCACCTGTTAATGGTCGTTTCCCTAAAGCAGCCTGTGTCAGGAGACGGTTGTGGTTTGTGGATTTGGATTGCTGGTGCGCTGGACCATTTCCTGTAAGGCTCATGCTAGGTACAAGTTGCGGGCCTGTTTGAGCCCCAGAAAGTTTTGATCACTGTGTAGCCAATACCACAATTCCTTTACCCAATTCTCCTGTGGGATGGGCCTGATCTGATCTTGTCTTTTCCTGCTCCCAGAAGCCTTGGAGAGTGAGCCCGGGGCCCTAGATTCCAGATCCCTACACACTGGCAGCATCCCTGGGAATCAGACCACAGGAAACTTCGAGGACTGTGTGTTGGACTGCTGATGGCCCTGTAAGGGTGGCTCTGCAGGGAAGGTGGGTTTGGTTCCTGCCCTGGGGAAGCCTGAAGGCGAGGCTGGGAGAGACAGTCTTCTGTGGGAAATGACCACACTGGTTAAGTGGTGCCAGTGGGTTTCAGTGCAGCTTGATGGCAGGAAATCCAAAGGTCTTTAGTATTTTGTGTTATCAGATGTTGCTGGGAACATCCAGCAGTTGCTCAGATGCCTTGTTGGAGAGATCCTTGTGTGGTGACTAGTGGTGGAAGTGGTGTTTATTCTGTTCCCCAGCCCGACTAGAGGTTTACCTCACTTGCAGACTTTGCTCATTTCTTATTTATCTATTTTTTTTTTAGTAGTGAGGATTGAACCCAAGACCTGATACATGCTAGGCAAGCATTCTACCACTGAGCTACATCCCCCGCCCTTTTTATATTTTATTTTGAGACAGGTTCTTCCTAAGTTACTGAGTGAGATGGCCTTGAAGCTGTCTTCCTGCCTCAGCCACCTGAGCCCCTGGGATCACAGGCGTGCACCGCTGCGCCCAAGAGCTCACTTCATTGTTTCTTAATAGACTTCAGTTTTGTGACGTATTTTAGTAAACTAGCCAGAGGTGCCTTCTGTTTAACATCATGCCCTAGAGACTCCTTTTGCCATATGGATTATCTGTTTAGTCTTGTGTTTCACTTTTGCAAAGGACACCTCTTCCGAAGATCTGGTGTCAGTGTGCTTTAGTATAGACGTTACCGCATGTTTGCCCAGGACCCTGGTTCTTGGTTCAGTTTTACCCTGGGTAGAAGCTGAAGGAATGGTTCAGTTTCCTTTCTGTCAAGTAGGGTGATGGCACTGAATTAACAGGAGAGCAGGGTGGCAGGATGCACATTGACTTTCTTTAGCATGACCAGTGGCATAAGCCAGGAGGGATGCCTCTGGGGTCATGAGACTGGTGCTGTGTTGACATCGAGGGCCTGGGCTAGGAGTGGCTCAGTTAGCTCAGAGCAGATGATTGACAGTTGGACAAAAGTCTCGTTCTCTAGATGTGGGGTCTCTGGCTTTGTTACCTGTACACATGGGGGTATGTTCTGATAAGTCCATTTTAAGTTGAAGATAATGTGAGTTGAAAGTAACATAAGGAAAATACTGTGAGTTGAAAACACTTGATGCACTTAACCTGCTGACCTCCCAGCTGAGCCCCAGGAACACAGTGGAGTGCCAGTGGTCCCTCATCACTCGAGCCTGTGGGAGCTGCAGCGTGGTGCTGCCACCCAGCATCACCAGAATGTATACCTGTACCTCGTATTGCTCCCCTGGAAGAATAAAAAATTGGAGTTTTTCAGTGGTAGAGCACTTGCCTGGTATGTATGAGGCCCTGGGTTCCATTCCTAACACCACACACAAAACAATGAAAAATAAGACAAGTCAAGTTCCATGGAGTGTGTCTTCTTGCCCACCTTCTTCAAGTTGCTGCCTTGTTGGGAGCCATTGGGAGTTGGTCTGTGGAGTTCTGCTGCTGCTCTCCCTGCCTCTGGGTGGTGAAGGACAGCTTGAAGCCAGAGGCCTTCACCTGCAACTCTTGGGTCCCCAGAATGGGAGTCCTCAGGAGCTCCCCTTGGTATGCGGCTGGGCAGCCCTCCGTGTTAGCAGCAGGCTGCCGGCTGCTCCTATGACTCATGGTTTGCCAGTTTCCTGTTGCCTGGCCCTCATTCCTTGCCCTGTAGGTGTGGCAGCACGAGGTTCTGGGAGCCAGGGAAGAATCCGGACTCTGCCCAGAGGCTACTTTAGATGCTGCAGCAGACTCATCTGATTGGGCCCCGGGCCCACCCGCCCCCAGCCTGGTCCCTGTAGAGCACTGGGGTGGGGAGGAGAGCCCAGCTGCCTGCCATTTTCAGCCTGTAAGTGTAGTGTGCCACATGCTGGAGACTCACCTTGAGGTCTGTGACAGCCCACAGCTTCAGCAGAGGCTGAGTGTGAGGTATCAAGCTGTGTTCCAGCCTGTCGGCTTCCTGCCCGTGGAGGGGTGAGGCCAGGGCAGCGCTCACACTCAACTCCAGCTTCTTGCTGAGAGCGTGAAATAGGCCAACCATGTCCCAACCCTGTCCTGAGAGCCAGCAGCCCTCTCGACAGGGACCGTGCCCACACTGTGCACCTAGGTGCAGGATCTATGTGTGGGCTGAGCCCTGGGCTTGCATTTTAGGGGAGGATCAGAAAATGAGTTCATTGAGTTTAGATCGATGACTTCATTTGTTCTGGATTCAGTACTCTACGTTAACAACACCACGTGTGTGGCCAGGGTGGAGCAGGGCCATAGGATTGAGAGATTTCTGGCTCCTGCTGACAGCGGAATCTGTTAATGATTGTGAGAATTTCACTATTTTTATTGTCTTCCTGATAGGCTGATTGACATGGTGCCTACAAGTGAACTGATGGTGAGAGCCAGAAGCCCCACCCTGTGAGCCTTTGCGGCAGTGGGAAGGCTCTCACCTGGAACCCTTCCGGGGTGCTCCGCTTAGGGCTGTGCTGGTGCATACTGTCGCCTCAGGCTGAGGTGCACGGGAGGAGTTTCAGAGAGTTGTTCTGACACCAGAGCCAGCAGGTGCTTTTCCCTGGAGCGGAGGCCAGGGTGACTTTTTTCTCCTTGTTTTTTACCAGGGCCTGATTGCAGACTACTGTAGGGGCCTGCAGGGGAGATGCATACGTGTGGGTTTCTGGGCAAGATCCTGAGAGAATGCCCCTGATCTAAAGTATCCTTGAGCTTCTGCTTTCGAACCTTACTTAATCTAATCTTTTGTTGGAAGAGTCATCGTTACTCATTTTATTCAAACAGATATTTATTGAGGTCCTACCATGTGTCGTACATCATTCAAAGCAGTGGAATTAGCTCACTGGGCCAAGAGGGACTTCTTGTCTCCTGGGGCTTTCAGTCTAATTGGAAGCAGAAGGAGAGCAGAGGAATTCGTACCAATACACGTCAGGTGAACAAGACCAAGTTAGGAGAAGGGATCCAGGCTGACGGGCCTAAGAGCCAGGGAGGGCCCCTCTGAGGACCTGACATTTGGGCAGAGCCTAAGTGAAGAGAGAGAGAGAGTGGCCCACGTCTGCCTTGGGCAGGAGCGACCCAGGCAGGGGGCAGACAGTAAAGCCCTATGGGCTTCCTAGGCTTGCAGAACTGCATGGGCTGGGATGGGGCCTGTGCCATCCTGCAGGAGGTGTCTAGGGCCTCTGCAGGAGACTGAAAAGTGCTGTGAACTGGCTTTTGCATCAGATGGACAAGGTGACTGTTGAGAAGGGCAGAGGCTGGTGTCACTTTTTCGAGAAGGAGGCCCAGAGCTGGGTGGCAGCAGGGGCCTTTGACTTGAGTCCAGCTCTGTCCTCATGTGGCCTTCCACTCACGTGCTTTCTGCTGGGCTCCAGGCGGTCATGGCTGCCTTGGCCTCCCCTGCTCCCTAGGGTCCCAGGTCTGCAGTCCTCCTCTGCCTTGTGAACAGCCTGCACCCCAGTCTGCTCCTAAAGTCACTTTCTCCATAGCAGGGTGCTTCCCCCTACTTCCTGCTGCAGTTCCTGCTGGTTCCTGGAATGGTAGAGATGTTGGGCCCAAAGGTCAGGCCCTGGGGTGAGGAGCTGGGGCTTGATAACATTTTATGGCCCTGCACCGGAAGCATGTTTCCCGACAGCAAGTCCCTGCGTCTTCCCTGTGCACGCACAGCCAGCATCCTGAGCTGCAGGCCTGACAGGAGCAAAGGAGATGAAACTGCACTTCAGGGGTTTTCTTGATTTCCCCACCCGCTGGAAATTTCCCAGCTGTTCTCAGGGTGCAGACCAGTGATGAACTTGCCTTCCTGGAAGAGTTCAGATGGAGGGAGACCGCTTTCCCAGCAGGGCTCCCTGGGACACAGGTGCCCTGTGCCACCTCTGGTAGTGTGGGCAGTGTCCCTCCTTGGTAGTGTTTTTCACTATCTCAGTGGATCTCACCAGTGGGTATAGATCACTGTCTCAGTGGATCTCACCAGTGGGGACCAGGCTTGCCATTTGCTCTTTAGTTTTTCTTTTCTTTTGTGGCACTGGGGATTGAATCCAGGGCCTCACATATGCTAGGCAAGTGCTTTACCACTGAGCTGTACCCCAGCCCTTTATATTTTATTTAAAACAGGGTGTCGCTAAGTTGCTGAGGCTGTCCTTGAATTTCGGTCTTCCTGCCTCAGCCTCCTGAGTCACTGGGATTACAGGTGTCCCAGTGTTTATAAGAGGCTGCTGTTGTCATGAGAAGAGTAGGGACTAGCTTCAGCAGGTGGGAGGAATCTCTTGTCTTGGGGCTGAGGCTGCTGGAGTTCCTACCCTGTGTCTCATCTCTCCCGGCTCCATGCTCTGGGAGCGTTGGCGTGGGGTAAGGCATGTGCATGTGAAGAGCGGCCAGTGCAGAGAGCAGCCTTCCCTTGGACCCCACAGAGGGGACAGCCTGCCCTGCGTGTGGCCTCTTGAATTATCTGCACAGCCTGAGGCCCCATTGATGAAGTGGGTACAGGGCAAGCAACTGGCTTTGATGTGGCCCTCTGTAAGGGAGGGGACGAGCCCATTACAGGAACAGGCGGCAGGGCCTCGTCACCTCTTACCCAAGCTGTTCTTGGAAATGCTCCTGCTCTGAGTGAGAATTAGGAAATGGTCTTCTATTTTGGGAACGTGGTGTGTGTTACAGACTGCCAGCTGTGGTCATGCAGGTCTCAGGCCTTTAAGAGCATCCCATTGGTGGAGGAGACGTGGTGGGAAGTTGATCCCGTGCATTTGCCCACAGGGGCCTACAAGCACGTGGTAACACACTGGGCTGGGTTTTCTGGTGTGAGTGAGGGTGCGGTGAGGAGGAAAGTGTGGAGGCCATGCTGAATCCATGCTGCCCGGAAGAAGAGGATGTTTTGAGCAGCATACGTCCTTGGGAGGTCAGGTTTTGGGAATCTTCTGTTAGGAGTAGGTTTTTGGGGGGCTGAATTGTGAAAGCAGGTCTTGGGATTTGGGAGGTTATAGAATGAGGACCTGCCTGTTGTCTTAGACGACAGGTCAGGATTCTGAGAGAACCCACGACCTTTGTTACAGAAATGTCTCCAGGGTATGGTCAGACACACAGTCTTCCTGCTGATCCTTGACCCATCTCCTAGCAAAAAATGGGAACCAGTGTTTCTCTGAGAGAGACAGAAACTTGCAGGGCCCTCAGGTTCTCTCCTTTGTTGGCCCAGATGGACTTTGCTGAGTGCAGTCGAAAGGGAAGTCCTTAAGCCCCACTGCCAGTGAGAGCAGAGGTCTGGCCTGGAGCCCCTCTGGGCTTCCTGGCTTTCTGGTGTGTTAACAGCTTGAAATAGGGAGGCTGGGTAAGGGAGACTGTGTGTCCCCTGTCTGGAGGCAGGAAGGGCGGCTGTGTGTCCTCAGGCAGGCCTGTTCTTTCTTACCCAGTGCCTTGTCTCTCCTTGGTGACAGCACAATCGGCTGGCCCAGGCAGAGGGTTGCTGTTCCTTACCTGCTGCTTCCCGTGCCTCTTCCCTTGCCTCCCGCCCTGGGGTTGGGGATAGCAGCTGCTGCCCATGCGGGCCTGAGCTTCACCGGCAGCTTTGGCAGGCCCAGAGATGGCAGAGGCAGTTCACAGAGCTGGGATTGAAGCCCTGCTCTCCCTGGGGCACAATTGTGGGCGGCCTGTGAGAGCCAACCTTAGGCCAGCTTCGCTGGGTTCCCCCAAGGAACCCAGCTGCTCATCCTGTGTGGGACCCAAGGCCATAGCACAGAGTGGTGGGGAGTGCAGAGCAGCATTGGCTGGGGTGTCTGTTGCGCCCCAGCACAGGGTGTGGGGGTGGACCTCCTGGCCACCTCTCGACCAGAGAGCCTGGCCAGCTGCTTTTCTCTTAGGTTGACACAGTGCGTGGTGTGGATGTTGGCAGATTCTATGCTCATTTTCTGTCTGCCCATTTCCTTTTCCCTGCAGGCCTCTGGCTGTACCTGGCAGGGAGCAGCCTGCCCTGTCTCACGCTGATTGGCTCTCCTAATTTTGGGTACAGGTCAGTTCACCGGGACCTGGAGGCCCAGATCGCCATCGTGACAGAGAGCCGATCCCTGCAGCAGCAGCTCCACCAGGTTGGTTGAAGCAGTGGGATTCCTGGGTGTGCGGGGGGGCGGGGGGGGGGGTGCGGCTGGTACCCAGCCTGGCCCAGGTTCACTGGGCTGCTCCAAGAGCTGTCTCCTGCCATTGTCTGCTGAGGCAGTGAGACTAGGACTGAGAAAGACATCTTGAGTTCCCCCAGGTCTGCAGTGAGGGGGTAGTGGGGCCTTTCAGAGACCTGCGTCAGAGAAGCCTTGGAAGATCAGGCCCTTGGTCTTGCAGCTGCGGGGCGGTATGGACTCATGTCTTGGGGACTTGTCCTATACTGTTCAGAGGGCCTACCTCTTCGAAGAACAAGGGCAGCTCTTTAAGGGCCAGCAGTGGATTTGGCCTTCTCTAGATGGTAGCAGTGTTTTGTTTTCTCTTTAGATAACAATGTAACCAAGAATTCACGTATGATTTTACATAGACTTTAGTATTTGGTCACCTACAACAATATTGATGGACTTTTGAAAAGGAAGCACAGGCCCCATATGGGTGCGGCCTGCAGTGCTTTGGGTTCTTGAGGGTGTGAGCCTTTCCTTGGGCAGCGTTAGCTTCCCCTCCTGAGTCACAGGTGTGCAGAAACGTGCTGTAGGCCAGGCTTTGGAAGCCCAGGGCTGACCCGTTCAGCGTTCACTGCAGCGTTGGGAAGTGCTGCTGAGCTCTTGGACGGGGAGGGGGTGCTGCCTCGTTCCCTGGGCCTCCTCCTGCAGTCTCCTGTCCATGGAAGAGCAGGCCTGGGTGGCCCTGGGACACTGGATTTATCCAGCAGCTTTCTTCTTGCAGGGAGACATAGCAAGCTGTGGAAGAAGCCCCCACAAGCTGAGAGATTCCATTGTAAGGGGGCAGCCACTGGCCTCAGATCCTAGCTTATAGGAAAGACAGACTGGAGCTCTTATCCCCGGGATCTGGACTCTGGCCTCCAGGACAGAGAGAACTGTGTGCACAGACGGCCCAACTATAGAGTTGTTGGTTATTTTGGCCTGGGGTGGGGACGAGTTGTGTGGGGAATCTGGGTTGACTTGAGAAGTAAGTGCCCCAGGCCTATGCCCAGGGTCTTGGTACTGACCGTTCCCCACTTCCTGAGTCAGGGAACTCAACCCACATCCTGGATCTTGAGAAAAGCTGGGCCAGTTGTGGTTGGGAGCTGCTTTCTCAAATAACATATTTGGGATATTTTCTTCCCAAACCTGAGTCTCAGGGGCTTTGGATTGTGGGAGGGTGGTAAGAGATTGATTCTATGCTTGTGAATTGCAGAAATGCATTTCTAGATTATTCTGCTGGTCTGCCTCTGTGCCAGGACTACAGTGCCTGGTCCTCGAGCGCCAAGTACTACTGGGGCTGTGCAGCCAGCCACACACCAGAAAGTCCCTGCAGCCCCAGCAGCTGGGGTCTTTGCTCTCAGCAGCTGCTGCTGTAGTTCTGCTGGGACACAGGGAAGGGCCCTGGCCAGGTCACGTGGAGCTCTGGGAATGGGGAGATATCTTTATCAGAATCCGAAGTCCCTCCCTTCACTTAGTGCATACAATAAAAGTGGAAAGCTTCCTGGCTTTGTTCAGAGAACAGTTTTCCACTTGTGACCCAAGAAATGCTCCCTCGAAAAGCATTGTGACCCCGGCCAGCTGACTTCCTTCTCCATCCCTGTTGTGGAGTCTGAGGACACGGAAGTTGTGCTGGTAATCTCATCGCAGCCTTGGCTGCCTGTTCACTGAGAATGCAGGGCTGCAGTTGCAGACCCGCCCCTGAGACCAGAGCTGGCTCCTCCTGCAGGCACTTCCCACCAGGGATTTGGAGCTCAGCAGCAGCAATTGGGAGGCCATAGAATTAGCTCCCATGTTTGTGGCACCTGGAGCTGGGTAGAACAGCAGCTGAGGGTCTGCGCACGTGGACGTGGCCTCAGGTTGTGCTTCATGACCAGGGCAGCGAGCACAGCCAAGAGGGACAGCAGGAAGTGCAGCTGCCGACACCCGAGGTGACCTGGTCTTCCCTCACACAGCGTCCCTCTTGTGTGGCCCTGCATTTGTGGGACTGTGTGCCTGGTCATCCTGACAGGAGCCTCTGGATGGTGTGGACGCAGGCACAGCCTGGAATTCCTAGATAAGACGCTTGGTCCCCCGCCTGGTCTTGCGGCTCAGTCAGGAGAGGACAGCACCTAAGGGCACATGGCTTAAGAAAGTAACGTTCTCCTTCCAGAGAGCCTCCACACACTCGGAGGCAAAGCCTGTGCACGTGTTTCAGACGTGAAAGTAATAAACATTTTGTAAAGAAAAATTAGAAGAAACTAGCCTTTGGTCAGAGCTCCTCATTCCCTTTCATTCTGTGTATGCGTGGAAAGGCGTAACATTTTTTTAAAAAAGGAATTAGGATTACTGCTGGCCCTTCAAACCCACAGGTTTTGAATTCAAGGATTCAACCACCCATGGATCAAAATGGATGGAAAATCATTCCGTCTGTACTGAACATGTGCAGATTTCCCCCAAACAATACAGTGTGGCAAATATTTATACATAGCCTGTACCTTAAATACTACAGGTAAGGTGGAATTCAGAAGTCCCCCATGGGACGTGTCCACGCAGGCTGTGCATTTAAGTGCCAAGGACATGAGCATGCTCAGGGTTTGGTGTCTGTGGGGTCCTGGAGCCTGTTTCCCAAGAGTGCCAGGCATATACCCCACACCCAGCTCCTTCTGTCAGGTGTGCTGTGTGTTCTGCCCTGTTATCAAGCTTCCTGGGATGTGCTTGTCCCGTGGTGAATGCTGTCTTGCCGTGTGGATGTACTGGTAAGGAGCTTTGGGGCGTGTCAGTGGTTTCCAGTCTTTCCTGTCACGGTGCACTGTGGTAAGTGTCTGTGTGCAGACACCCTAGTGCTTGCTTCTGGGTGCACAGTTGCTGTTGTGGGAGAAGCTTGCAAGTGGAACGTTTAAGGCTCTTGATACCTGTTGCCAGATTGCCTTCCAGAGAGGTGACTCAGTGCCCCTTTCCACAGCAGTCCACGCCAGCCGGGATAATGACATCACAAAATGACTTTTTTACCAATTCGATGGAAGGAAAACTGTGTCTTATGTAAAAGGCATTTTTTTCTTGGTGGTGCTGGAATTGAGTGAGGGTGCTCTGCACTGCGTGCCAGGCACTTACTCTGCCCCTGGGCTGCCCAAGCCCAGGGCCTTGTCGTTGTGATATACACCAATTCATTTAGTGACAGTGAGCTTTTTTTTTTTTTTTTGCTGTTCCTTTTAGTCATTCATGACAGTAGGTCTGTTCTGACGTATTCACACAAATATGGAGTGTGTCTTATTCTAATTGGCCCTTGGTCATGGACGTAGGTGACGGCAAGACAGCTTTCCACAGTGTTTTTCCTACCAGGTGTGTTTCCTCCACTCCAAGTTGGAGACGTGCAAAGATGTGTCTTGGCATTGTCAGCAATGGGGCTTTGTAGCTTGTCCACAAGCATTGTGCCGCACCACGGTGGGCCTGCCCTGCCCTACTGCTGGGCACCCCCACACTTCTGGCCTGACATGTGTTTTCTGGCCTTGACACAGTGTTTGCCAGGCTGGTCTTAGGGCCGTGTTACCTGGTGCTGGAGGGGACTCTAACTACTTCTGTCTATTCTTCTTCCTTAGGAGCAAGAGCAGCTCTACTTGCGGTCAGGTGTGGTGTCCTCTGCCACCTTTGAGCAGCCCAGTCGGCAGGTGAAGCTGTGGGTGAAGATGGTGACTCCACTGATCAAGAACTTCTTCTGAGGACGCCAGGTGCTGTCTCTCGCACCGCCTCAGCTCAGTGTTGCCAAGAGCTTTGGGTAGGGCAGGGGTGGTCCGACTACCAGAGACCCTCTTGAAGGAACGAACCCTGAGGGCTCTTTCACCCCTTCCTTGGTTAAGCACGTGGAGGTTACTGTAGGATTGTGGAAAGCTGTCATCAAAGTTTTTGAAGACTGATGCTAAATTAGGAAGCTGGTTCACTTCTTATCAGGTACCAGTCACACCAAGTGCTGGGCCGCCTGTGTCAGCAGTGTGTACTCCCCTTCTGCCTTCCCGTGCCAGGGCCGTGCGAGGCCCTGGGTGAGAGGGAGGCAGAGCCTGTCCTTCCCTTCCCTTAGCTGAGCAGGACCCTGCAGGAGACAGCTATGGGAGGAGGACGAAGCCCTCCGGGAGTGGGGAGGGCTCTGGCCAGCTGAGCTCAGGACCACATGGTGGCTGAGCTGGACCTTGGGCTGCTGCCTTGCCGTCTCCCTGACGTCTGTGTGACGTGCAGTTAGGGAGGTGTGATGTTCTAGGTGTCAAGACATGCTCTGCCTACCAGAAAGCCACTGTTGGGTCCCACAGGCAGGTGCACCTTAGGGCTCACCCTAGCTACCCCTTGGCTGTCCTGATGCCTGGAGGTTGGGCAGGGAGTGGGTGGCTGCCGTGAGAGTGGGCTCTCTCTGGAGTGACCCTCTGTGTTCCAGATTCCTCAGGACCCTGAGCACACTCTGGAGGGCCCCAGATGGGGTTGGTTTCCTGGGTCCTCCGCACGTTGGCATGGTTAGGACTTCAGCTTGGGGGTACAGGGGAGTGAGGGGGTATAGTGGCACATGCTTCTCTGTTGGTAGAGTTCCTTGGCTCTTGACAACCTCATCTAAAAAAAAAAAAAATTGCATTTAATCCTGTAGTTTTTTCCTCATTATTTTAATTGCTTGTGTGTATGTGGAGGTGTACTGGTGATTGAACCAGGGACATTCTACCACTTAGCTATATCCCAGCCCTTTTTATTTTTATTTTTTGAGACAGGATGTTGCTGAGTTGCTGAGGCTGGCCTTGAACTTGCAATCCTCCTGCCTCAGCCTCCTGGGTTGCTGGGATTACAGGTGTGTGCCGCCTCACCCAGCTCATTTTAATGTTTTGTTTGTCTATTTGACCCAGTGTCCACGTACGCTGTACACCTTGTGATTGTTGATAATGCCAGCTCTCGTCTTGTGTCATCTCAAGCAGGGCATTTTGAATCTACCTGTCCTGTGTATTTATAGAAGTCCGTCCACCCTATCCATTGTCTTGAGCCAGTTTTAGAACTTATTGTGCAGTCTCAGCATGTCAGGATCTTGCACAAAGCATGAGCCTTCTGTAGGTGCCAGGAGTGGCAGCCCGACTTTAGGGGGCCAGACTGGAGAACTTCCCTGTGCCTCGTGCTTCTGGAAGCAGTCACTCTTGCTGGCCTCCTGAGAGGTGGCAGCTACCAGGACCATCTTTCCCAGGTTCTGGCTGTGTGGTGGGGCTCCAGGGCCCGAGCACCACTCTTCTACAAGGATGGCTGTAGTTTAAGCAGTTGGGCCTTGGCCACACTGCCCCGGGTTGTGTCACGGCCCTCAGACTAGTGCCTGGGGATGAGGAGACGCAGGAATGGCAGGGGCACTGGGTTTCTGTGTGGAGAGGCCTTCTCCATCAGCCCCCGCACTCCTAGGGTTTCTCCACCCCCGTGCGCAGCCTGGCCTGAGCAGTTCCTCTGTGCCCCTGCTCCCTCTGTCTCTGCTAATGGGAGTACTGGGCAGGCTCTCCAGAGACGCAGAGACTGGAGGCCCCTGGTTTCTCTTCCAAACCATGCTTTCCCCTCACTGTGGACAACCCAAAGGTGAATCATCTCTTGGAAAGTTTGGAGAGGATTTTCTCAACTACCCGCAATACGCACATGTGGAATAAATTACTGTTTTATTTTAGGCTCTAAAGGCAAAATTGGAAAAACTTCACATTTGCGGTTATTACCGGGGAATGGAGATGAGCTGCTGTGGCAGGCCATTGGCGGTCTTCTTTCTGTCCCTGCGGCCTGGTTATGAACGGCTGCAGTCACCCCTCCTGGCCAGCAGGGGTGGGTGTCCGACAGCCAGGGTCATTGGCACCAACTCTGCTTCCTTCCTTGGGCCCCGAGGGGTCGCGTTCCCTTCTGGATTTGAGTCAGACTTCCTGCACTGCACCACTTCTTCACCCATGGTTTGGGTGAATATGCATGTGAAAAAGATGGAGCGCCATTTCTTTCTAGAGTTCTTGCTTGCTAACGCTGTCACGCTCCCCCTGGGTTCCATCTTACCCGTGTAGGCTCTACACCTGCTTGCCCTGACTTGCGTCCAGGTTTCTAAGTAGTCATCTTCTCTCTGGTCTGCACCCCACTGCCCCAGTCAGCCTGGCTGTGTTGCTGGGATGTCTTGATGTGGCCCCAGGGCCCCGTGGACCTTACTTACTCCTGCAGACTTCCTGCCAGCTGGAGGACTCAGTGGACTCAGCCCGCAGCTGCCTATGGCCTGGGCAGGCTCCCTGGGGCTGTGTGCCACCCGCCTCTGTGCCCACTCCCTTGGGGCAGACGGGTGCTGGCGGTTGGAGCACAGGTGGTGTGTTGTGGACTAGCTCTCCTAGTTCAGGGGAGTTTTTAGGGTGTCCTCACTAGGCCTTGGAATTGGGTAGAGGCCAAAATAGCCACCCCCAGCCTGGATTTGCACACCCTCACAAGGGGACCTGAGGACTTTGCACATCCTCCTACTTACTGGCCCTGCAGAACGGTGGGGGTGGGGACAGGAGACAGTGTCTCTTTCTCCCCACCTTTGACCCTCCCCCCTCAGGACATACAGGGACACAACCTCACAGTTAAGGTCCCGTGGTTTTTAGAAAGCTGAGGGGAGCACCCCAGCCACGTAGAAGTGGCACCTGTGTGGAATAAATAGTTTGCCCTTCTAGGTTCTAGGGTCGGGTGGAGGGTGGGGAGGCCCTCTTGTCCTTGGGAGAGGAGAGGATGGCGCACCTATTGGGGGGCTGTGCGTGGACATCATCAGATCACAGGCTGCACCTGCTGTGCCCCAGGCTGCTTGCAACTCTCCAACCCCTCGCTCCCCTGGGGGGTTGGTCTGTAGGGTGCTTGCCCTTGGCTGTGGTGAGCCGGGGCCTTGCCGCAGCTGCACCCTGCTCTGGCAGGCCTGAGGCGCTGGGCCCAATGGATGAGACAGCCAATGACTGCAGGCCTTTTAATCTGTACGCCTCTCACACTCCAGCCTCCAGCCTCCCCTCGGGCTAGTCCAGGTGCACTCAGTCACAAAGCACCTCAATTATGTAAGAGGAAAATAACCAATGCTTCCCGTAAAGAGCGGGTGACAGTTGCAAGGCGGCGTTTCTGATTGCAGCCCGGTTGACTTGGTTCAGGGTGGGGCCGTGGCGCAGGACCGGTGGCCAGTTACACCTGCAGGAGCAGCGCCACCGCCGCCAGGATCCACTTGGCTGCCTTCTCCTTAGTCTTGAGGTTAAAGGTCCAGACGTAGGTGGGGCCGCGGATGCGTGTCTTGTACACGGGACACTCATATATGTTCTTGGTCTCCATGCGGTCCACAGGAATGGCTTTGATGAAGATGACAGGCATGGCCGGCGTCAGCTCCTTCAGACGCGCTTCAGCGATGACTCCAGTCTGGGTGTCCCAGCGAGCTCCTGCAGGGACAGCGTGGCCGAGGGTCAGGGCAGCCCTGGTGCAGCGAACAGGTCTTGTCTGGTGTGCTGGCAGTGAGGGGAGGGGCCCACAGGGAGAGGCCTGGCCTCACACCCCCCCCCCCAACCCTTTGCAAGGAGGTCAGTGCCCCTGAGACTCCTGAAGAGTTGAGGCCAGGTGCCAAGGGCAGGGGGTGCAGGTGTCCACAGAGGACACTGTGGGTGGTGGTGGCATGCTGTGGTGCCCCGGGCATCTCGCTGTGCACTGAGGAACAGCTCCGCACTAATGCTCTTGGGTTCCATCCATTTAAATTTGTGGTGTTTCCAGAGCCTCGTCTGTCGGCCTTCTCACTTTCAGTGGCAAGAAATCATAACTCCAACTGAAGATCACCAAGTTCCCTGACTCCCTCGTGTGTCACGTCTAGCCTGTGTGTCCATATGCAGCATAATCATCTATGTGCATATATAAATATTATTTGCCTTTAACCAGACTGCTGCCATTTCTACTCATCATATTCAATAATGTTTGTACTTTGTCTGGAATTCCAAAATAAATGTGGGGAACGGCTGCTGCTGTGCTTGTCTTGGTTGCTGTGGGAAATGGGGTACCTGGGCCCCCGCTGGCCTTGCCTGACACCACAGGTCGGGTGGTGGCAGTTGTGGAGTGGGCAGGGTTGGCAGAGAGTGGGTGGCCTGCCTCAAGGATGAGGGGGCCAGTTCTAGAGGGTGCCTCCACTCTCTCTCCCCCTCTTTTTTCCTGGCCACATGGATGGTGTGACACACAGGGCTCTGAGTCTAGGTGGTGGTCAGGCCTTCTGTCCCTTGGAAGTCCTGACCGTGCCGCTTGGAGACTGGCAGGGGGCTGAGACAGGAATGCAGCAGAGGTGGGCTCCTGGCTGAGGGCCAGCCTGCATGCCTGGGAGCCCACTGCTCTACAGTAGTTCCGCCCTGTGCCCTGCGCCCTGGCTGGAGGGGCTGGCCTGATAGGCACTGTTGGCTTCGTCCAGGCCAGCTGGCTGCAACGGGTGTGTGTGTCCTCCAGCCCTCTTCAGGTTCTCAGAACCCCACTGACTCTAGTGGTCAGCGTGGCTCCAGGCTGTGAGCTCAGGTACCCATCCTGGGAATACCGCTCTCCTAGCTGCCCCCAGCTGCACAGCCTGTCCTGCTGAGACTGAGTGGGCATGGCCTGTGGGCAGCTGTAGACAGGGCCCCCCCCCCCTTACCTTCCATGAAGAGTCCATACACATAGGAGCCCTCTCTGGGGGGAGCAGTCATGTCCTCCCGGTTTTTCTTGGTCACTTCCACAGACAAACACATCTTGTCAAGGGGCCACTCATTCTTCCTGGCCATGGACTGCATGATGGCCGTGAGGAATGACTGGGGGTTGAAGAATCCAGCCAGCCACACGGTGGTGGGCAGGACAAAGTCCGTCGTCCAGGCCTCGAGTTCCTGCAGGGAAGCACAGGCTGAGGGTGAGCAGGCAGGGCCAGGGCTTGTCAGTGTCCCAGAGAGTGGCCCTGGAGCCCGCCGCCTTCCTACCCCTTGCTTTGCTGTCTGGTTCCATTTTAAATGAGGGGGGACTAGTGGGAAAAGTGGCGTCAGGGAGGGAATGGCCGATGCTGGAGGCTGACCTGGCCTGTCACCAGGCTCACCGCAAGGCCTGAGCTCTTGGTGCTTGCTGGGTGGGGGGCTGCCGCTCATGGTGCGCACCGGTGTGACTTCCTCCTCAAGAGGAGGCCCCTGCATTGTCAGGTGCTGAGGGGCTGAGCCTGGCCCTTCCACCCTGCTCCTGCAGAGGCCCAGCCACCAAGGGCCTCTAGGGCCACCACAGCTCTACTCCTGAAGGCTCTGGGGTGTGGCACAGCCCTGGCATTCTGGTCTCCACATCTGAGTCAGGCACTGCTTACCCTGATGCGGAGCAGCAAGTCCGTGTACCAGGCTGCCAGGCCCATCATGGAGGGGTAGGCCCGGGCCACCCACGTGTCGGGCACAGTGTCGTAAAAGAGAGCCGTGGACAGGTCTTCCATGTCGGTGGTGATGGTCAGTTCCCCCTGAGGGACACAGCAGGTTCAGGGAAGTTTAGGCTCTGCCACTTGGCCTGGGGCAGATGTGCTCAGGTCCACCTTAGGCCTGCCCACAAGAGTGGGAGGCCACCCCCAGTGTGCCCAGAACCATCAGCTCTGGCTCTGTGGGACCCCTGGAGACAGCCTGCACGGGGCCCAGGCCAGCACCTTCTGCCAGGAGCAGTCAAGGTAAGTTCCCGTGGCTTCTGGAACACCCTGGGTCCAGAGCAGGGCAGAAGGGGGCAGGCCATGATGTGCCAGTGTCCCGGCTGTGGCTGGGAGCCTGCCTTCTTGGTCAGCCTGCCCCAAGTTCCTCCAGGGCCTGGTGCCTCCCCAGCTCACCTTCAGCCCCAGGTTCAGCTCCTTCAGTGAGCGGCGCATTTCGTTGGTCAGGATGTTCATCCTTTCACACTCTTGAAAGGCAACCACCACGTAGGGGGTCTTCTCAGCCGCCTTTGCCATGATCTCGGCCATGTTGAACGTCTCTGGAATCTTCTCGAGGATGTCATCCAGCACAGCCTTCACCTGGAAGCCAGCCCCCATTAACCCCCAGCACTCTCCACCCCAGAGAGACCCTTCCCTGCTGCTTCAGGGGCAGGGAGCCTGCCCAGACGTTCGGAGGAGAGGGAAGAGCGGGGGGCTGCCAGGACCCCAGCACCACAGGCTTCGACAGTGCCGGCAGGCTCTCCAGCGCTCTGGCCCCGCTGGCACACCACATGGCTGGCCCACGTGCATCGGGTGCCCGTGGCCTGGTGCCTCCATATATGCCCGAATGTGCTGGTGGGCACAGATGTCACTTTGTCCTCCATGGGGACCATACTGGTCCTACCCCCTTAGCATGGTCAACGCCCACCACTGTCCATAGGAGCTTTCTAATGTCACTTGTTAGGTCAAGCAGGGGTGTAGGTAATAGAGATTAGGGTGTTCACTCTACGTTTGGTCTGTCCACTGTGAAGCCTGGTACTGAGCTGGTCTGCGGTGAGTTAGGTGTAGGTGGTGCTGGGCCGTCAGGAGAGGGGCCAGGGGAGCCTGGACAAGCCGAGTTTGTTCAATGCTGTACTCTGGGCTTTTCCGATCAATGAGGTCTGTCTGTGGCCGTCTTGAGTGTGTCCAGGCTGTGCTGCCCGAGCCATGCCTGCCACTCCCCCGGGTTCTGCCTGCCTGACACAGGTGCTTCTGGGGGCCTGCCAGCCAGCTTGCAGACCCTCACCCCAGGTTTCTCATTCTCCCACTGGGATAGTGTGTGCCTGGCTAGCAAGGGCCCAGGCACTTCCTGTGACCTGGGGCTGCACTGTGCTGTGTGACCTGGCCCCAGGTCCTGGAGAAGGACAAAGGGTCCTGCCTTTTCCTCGCGGGATACTCCTGTGCCTGCTCCCGAGTCTGTCTCTTTGGGCTGCATTTCCAGGACAGTGCGGAACAGCTTCTCTGAGGTGACCGTCAGAAAGCCGATCTCTGCATTGGGGTGCAGGCCGTACAGGTAGGGGCTCTCCGGGGGAAGGTTCTCATCGATGTATTCATGGTAGCCCTGCAAAGAGGGACAGTGTGAGCAGACTGCCAGGTAAGCTGTGTAAGCCAAGCGAGTCCCTGCCTCGCCCCAGGGTCTGCGTGTCCTGCCCTCTGCCCAGTCCTCACTTGGTCCCTGGCCCTGCATGGCTCCCAGCTACATAAGGGAACTCCCAACCCCCTTCCTCGTTTTGTGTGCCTGGGGTTTGGCTCAGTCACTGCCACGTTGGAAGCAGGCCTGGACGGCCACCCTTCTCAGCTGCTGGCCACAGTGGCTCTGTGCAGGCCGCTGCTCACCTTGTAGTCCAGGTTGGGGGGGATCTGAAAGCCGGGGGCCAGCATCACCTCTCCCTCCAGCATCTCGCCGCGGACGTACTCAGCCAGGTAGGTCCTGCAGAGCCGCCGATCCCAGTCATCCGTGATGTGGCCGCCATACATGATCTCCCCGAAGAGGTAGCGGAGGTCGTCCCAGGGCACCTGGTGTGGTGGGGAGCAGTCGTTAGGGAAAGGCGCCCGCCCTCCTCTCACGTGGTGGTAGGCCTGCGCGGTCAGCCATGCTCGAGGGCCTGCTGTGCTGCCCTGGGCTTGCTGGCCAGGCTGGCCTCCCAGGCCATTTGCCTTCGAGTTCAGCAGTGACCGCTCAGCTGCCAGGCCAAGGGCTGCCTTCCCCTGACCCCGCACCACGGACCTGGTGTCTGCACAGTGGCCAGCACCTCTGAGATGCCCTCTGTTCTCAGGCTGAGCTCTCCCAACCTGTGACTTCCCTTCCCAGTGATGTCCTCGGGCGCCTCTGCTGGTGCCCCAGACGCCGCAGGCCTACAGGGCACATGTTCCTTCTGCCTGTTCCTCCTGTGACCCGTGTGTGGCTGAGGGCCGGCTGGGCCACGGCCTCCCCCGGGGCCACTGAGTGTAGCCATGTCTTCAGAACACTTCAGGCGCACCTTCCCTTGGGCCCCACAGAACTTGTCTGGTCCCCAGTTCCTTTGTCCATCAGTCCAGTAGCTGTCGCCTCGCTTGCCTCAGAGGGCTTTGTGGCAGCACAGAGAACTTTGAGCAAACGACTCACCCCACCAAACCGTGGCCTCCTGGGGCCTTGGGGACAAACGCCAGGCCCAGCAGTGTGCACACACAGCCCTAGTCAGGCCAGGTGCCCTCTAACCCGGGCCTCCATGCTCACTGCCTGCCTCTGCTTGCTGTGTCCCTTATCTCCAGAGCCTGGACACGAGCACCCCCACCCGTGAAGGCCCAGCCCCCCAGCCCTGCTCCTGCTGCTGGGGCTGCCACCGAAGGGCAGCAGGAGCCCTGGGTGACCCAGAACCTCCTCCCGGCCATTCTACGAAGAGCAGCAGGATCACCCCAGTATGGAATCAGTGAAAAGATCATTCCTAATTTTTTGGGGGGGTACTGGGGATTGAATCAGGGGCACTTAAGCACTGAGCCACATTCTCAGCCACATCCCCAACCCTTATGTTTTATTTTGAGATAAATTCTCACTAAGTTGCTTGGGGCCTCACTAAGTTGCCGAAGCTGGCCTCTAACTTGCGATCTCTGGCCTCAGCCTTCCAAGTAGCTGGGGTTACCGGTGGGCACCACTGCACCCAGCCCTCGAAATGGCCACTTTGACTTCAAAATTATCTTTCTCAGATTATCTGGAGTTCATGCTGAGCTGAGCTGCTTTGGAAGCAGCTTCTGTTTATGCTGTGAGGTGGGGAGCACACCCCCCCTTTAGGGACAGTCCTTTCCCACAGCAGGAGGGCTAGTGGGACTGGTCACCGGGCAGGCTGTTTCCCACTCTGCCAGGCCCATCCCAAGGAAGCCAGCCTGTTCAGGGCAGTCGCACCATGACAAGGCTGCTGGCTAGTCAGGCCTTCGGGCCAGGGTGGGAAGCACTGGGCTACCTCCTCCTGGGGGTGGGGGAGTAGCCCTGATACAGATGACATTTGCCAGGTGGTCCTGGCAGGCAGTGTGACCTGTGCCTTGAAGGAACAGAGGGCTGGGGACC